CAAATAGGACATTGTTGCGCACAGTGGTGTTTTGGATCCAGGCGTACTGGGGGCAGAATGCGCGTGTAGTGCTCAGACGTACAGTGCCATCAGTCACACGCATATCGCCCGCCAGAGCCGAGAGCAGGGAACTCTTGCCACAACCGACTGTTCCAATGACGGCCAACAGTTCATGTCGGCCAACTTCAAAGGTTAGATCTTTGAGTTTAAACGGCTCAATGGGAGTTTTATCGGCGTGCTCGTCTTTATTTGTTGATTTTTTAGTTGGCCCAGGGCGCGCAGCTGCCTTCTTCTCGGCTTTGTCTGCATCCTTTTCGTCTGTGGGAAGGCGTTCCCACGTAAATGAAGCATGATCCATCTCGACTGCGTTCTCCATCGTCTGATCACGCTCGATATCTTCCTTTTGTTCTTCGGCGAGCAAAAACTCCTGGATTCGATTGAATGCAGTCCAAGCATCGGTCACTTGACCGATGACCATTGGCAGCATGTTCAATGGCATCCGTAGGGAATTGAACAGCGCCAACGAGGAGAAAACCGGTGCGGGGTCCAAGTCGTGATTTGACAACGCATAGGTAACGAAAGACAACATTGAGGCGAAAACAGGGATAGACATTGACACGCAAAGAATGGCGTTTCGGATCGCAAGCAGGGTCTGGATGGATCGAATTTCATGTCCTCGGATCTCTTTCAGGCGGCCGAGGAAACTGCTCTCCCAACCGAAGAACTTCACGAAGCGCACAGCTTGCAAAATTTCTTGGGTGAGAGATACACGCTGGTCTGTAATTTGGTTGATATTCCGTCGTCGGTTGATCAAAGATCGCACAGCGAAAGTCAAAAATGGCATTCCGATTATCAGCAGTGCGTACCCGGACAAACAACTGTAGCCAATGTTGACCAATAGAAGGATGAGTGTCACGATAATGGAGATGGGTGCTGTCCAAATCATATGGAACATGCCACACGCCAGGTTAATTCGGTCCACATCAATACTCATGAGAGCAGTGATGCGACCATTGTTCCATCCGCGGCCATCACCTGCGACGCCACCCGGTGCTGGCAACACAGTCTCAGGCTTTTGTTGCTTCCCTTTCTCTTCGGGCTTCAAAAGAGCCTCCTTGGTTTCCTGTAGGGCTTTGACTTCTTCTGGGGTAGCTTGGCCTCCGGCCTTAGCACGACCAGATAATTTCATAGCCTTGTTGAAGATGTGAGAAATAAGCACGGCGCGAATCTGCCCACCGACAACTTGACCTCGATACAGGAACTGATTCGTGCATAAGCTCTGCAGTGCCTGCATGAGGGTGATACCAACGACAAACCCCATGCCCTTGCCAATATGAGGCGCCGGATGACCAGCCTTTTGTGCGACATAAGCCTCTGTCGCAAAAGCAATCAGGTACCGTGTCAAATACGGGGCGAAGACCAGCAACAGCGAACTGAAAAGCTGACAAATGCCACCCAGTACAAATTCAAATCTGAACGTGTCGTACAACGCCCAGAGAAGCGGGCGGTTAATACCACTTTCCGTGCGCTTTTTCAATGCGGCATCTAATCGACCGGATAATACGTCAACGGACCGGTCGGGATTGACAGTCCAGATATCTTGCAATTCGAGTGGACGTAGATAACCCACTTTCATCAATGGGGACATCCATTCGAAGGAAATCACACTAAAAAATGAAGCGCCATATTCAAGCGAAACAGATCGCTCTGCTGGAACGGGAGGGATCTTTTGCAATCGTAGCGGATTGAGTCTGCGATACCATTCTGTCTTTTGTGCAGGCTGGACGTCCAGATCGGAGGCCTTGGATTCATCAGGTGCCGATGTCGAGGTAACACCCTGGAGTTTATCATCCGCCACCACTACTTCACGTAGCGTTTCGGGCGTTGACATGCTGAACATTGATCGATAATCGAATCCAGTTCACGGGAAGTGTTCTAGCAATTCGAAAAAAAGTCGGAGTGAGATAATTGATGTGGGGACACGAGATGCTGAATACGGAAGTCGGAGATAAGTGTCGGGGATTAGGGATTAAAGGATTTAGTGTATTAAAGTATAAAAAAAAACAAACGTAAAAGAAACCCCGAAGAACTGAAGAACTGAAGAACCGAAGAGATCACGGAGGATCCAGGGTGCTTTAATGGTTTATAGATATGGCAATGATAACGGAGCAGACACGGAAGTCCGAGGCTTTATATATGAACTCCACCAAACAGGGCTAAGCTTCGTATTGGTCTTGGGTCTTTCATGGTACATCTGAGTCAAAGCTCGGAGAAACAAGCGAAACGCCAGTTGAACACACTCGCTAAGAACTTCACCATCTGACAGGACCGTTCTGTCAGCAGTCGGTATCGCAGACTTGACGATTCCGGCCACCGACATTTGGATTAGTAATTTCTATTTGTCCCAGGTGGACCTCGTAAGGGGGGGGGGGGAATTCATTTATTATTGAGACCGAGGTCAACTTCATTCCTGCATTAGCAGATTGTGTTCAACCCCAATTTGTGATCTATTCTTTGCTAGTGAATACAATGTTGAACCCTGAAAAAACAGAAGCAAAAGCTATTCCTTCGTCACGTCGTGGGATAACAAGCAGATCCTAGACAGTGGGAAATGTGCCAGGTAGGGACATCTCGGGTCATCTCAAGCTTGTGTCCGATGGGAATCTCAAGTAGCCAGCACGAACCCGGAAAGTATGATATAGATGCATGACGTACAGCAAATCATGGATCCCCCACGCGACTTCTGGGGTTGCAGCTGCATTCTGTGAGCCTACAGAGAGAGTCCCGCTCTTTATGCATCTAGTTCTCAAGGTCAATCTTGACCTTCTTCTCCGTAGGGGGTATGATCTGGTCCTCGGATGCGCCCTTAAGCTTCGGAAGGTCTGCCACAGCATCCTTGATGATGTCAAGCGCCTTTTGGATTTCCTCCTCCGTGATGACCAGCGGAGGAGCAAGGCGAATGATGTTCTGGTGGGTAGGTTTGGCCTGAGGAATTTAAAGGTCAGCAACTCCGAAATACAGGTAACGAGGAGGGACTGAAATTATAATACCAGTAGACCCTTCTCCTTCATCAACATGCACAGATCCCAAGCGGTATGTCCATTTGTCTTCGACTCATCAATGACTATGGCATTGAGCAGACCCTTTCCACGTACTGTCTGGATGACTGGACTATTGATAGCCACCAGCCCATTCCGGAACAAGTGGCCGAGCTGCTCCGCACGCTCCACCATGTTCTCCTCGCGCACGACTTCAAGCGCGCGAATAGCAACGGCACAGCCAAGTGGGTTGCCACCGTAGGTCGAACCATGGGTACCGGCCTCGATCGTGAGCATGACGTCCTTGCTACCCAGCACGCAAGAAACTGGGTACATACCGCCCGAGATGGCCTTGCCGAGCAAGACAAGGTCGGGCTTGATTCCGCTCCACTCGTGACACAGCAGCTTGCCCGTGCGCGCGATACCAGTCTGGATCTCGTCGCAGATCAGTAGCACATTGTGCTTGTCACAGAGTGCCCGGGCCTCCTGCAGGTAGTCTGGGTCGGGGACAACAATGCCAGCCTCACCCTGGATGGGCTCGACGAGGAAAGCAGCGAGGTTGGGGCCGGCCGCCTCGAACGCCTCGCGGAGAGCTGCCTTGTCATTGTAGGCGATAGGCTTCTCGGTTCCTGGGATCGTGCATCCGATACCGGGAAGATAAGGACCGTAATTCTCGCGTGACTCGGGGTCGGAGGATAGGGAAATGGCGGCAAACTAATGCAAGGAGTCAACATAATATCAGCCACTGATGTACCCCCCGCCACAGGTGTAACAGAGAGGGGGTCACAATTCACTTACTGTACGCCCATGGAAGTTATTCTCTGCACTCAAAATGACGGCTTTGTTTTCTGGAATTCCCTTGACCTTGTACCCCCATTTACGGGCGATTTTGATACCGGTCTCGACGGCCTCGGCGCCAGTGTTCATAGGCATCACCATGTCAAAGCCAAAGTAGCTGGTAACAAACTTGGCAAATCGAGGGAAAACGTCATTGTAGAATGCACGGGAGCTCAGAGTTACTCGCGAAGCTTGGTCTACCAGTGCAGCAATCAACTTGGGGTGGCAGTGGCCTTGGTTCACAGCGGAGTAGGCGGAGAGGAAGTCAAGGTAGTGACGGCCTTCAGGGTCCCAGACTGAAGTACCCTGAGCTCGGGCAAAGACCACGGGAAGAGGGTGGTAGTTATGGGCAGCATATTCCTTCTCGGACTCAATAGCCTCAGCAGAAGAAGCAGCATGGTAGTGGGAGAAAGGCCCGTTAGTAGCCATGGTGGATTGCGGGGAGAGCTAGAAAGGTTGGGGGGGGGAAGTTGGAGATTACAGGGATCGACAATGGGGTACAGAAGGAAATAAAGAAACTGAGCAAAGAGGAATTGAAGTTGAAGAAATTCAATCAAAACGGTATGGAGAAGAGAAGTCTTATAAGGGGATCCCTTGTACAGCCGCTATGCCGTTAAGTGTTAGACCTGTTTGATGGGATGTCCGTTAAGTACAGGTCGTGCCGATGTTGTTCCCTATGCGCAGGATTACCCTACACGGCTCCATTCGCTTTGATAACCACGATTTCTGATTCGTTCATTAGCTAGGTAGGTTAATTATTGGTCTTATGAAAATCCATAGGAGAGAGAGAGAAAAAAAAAGGGTAGAAGGGCACGTCATACTTCGGTTAGTGAAGGAAAAAGAAAAATCTCCTTGAACCTTCTAATGAGATAGAGAGGAAATGAAGGATCATTCTTAAATAAAGCTCTATTATCCAAATCAAAAAAAACCTCACGAGACAAAGGGATCGAAATGTGAAGAGGAGTTATGAGGAACTAGTTCGAGTTTCGGAGTAGGGGAGAACATCCTCCGCCCGACTCCTTTGTTGTCGTCAATTCATGGCTTTGCAAGGCCAGACATCGTGAACCTCCGAGCGCAATGTAAAATGGAAATGAATGAGCATTTACATTATCCTAACCCTTGATCATGTCTACAACAAATTTTCCGAGCCGCGCGCTTCAAACCCCCCGCGCTTCCACTCCTAACATACTCCTTCTCCTCATCGCCTTCCGTCTCGTCAATGCATTCGTAGTTCGGACCTTTTTCCAGCCAGATGAATACTTTCAGTCCCTGGAGCCAGCTTGGGATATCGCGTTCGGTCAAGGTCAAGGGGCCTGGGTGACATGGGTGAGATGCGATCGCGTGAGCACACGGCTTTGGCTAACCTCAATATCGTTCCCAGGAATGGCGGCACCAACTCAGATCCTCGCTGCATCCTTTCTTGTTCGCCGCTCTCTATAAATCCGCCGATTTTCTCGCCTCAACCTTCAGAGTGTCTCCCGCCACGCGCGCAGAGCTCCTGATTGCCACACCGAAGACAGCGCAGGCCGTTGTCGCGGCAATTGGTGATTTCTACACATGGAAGCTTGCAGTTCGCGTCTATGGAAATGATTCCCGTGGATCTTGGACAACGGTATGTGATGATGTGTCGTGTGTCGTGTGTCCAGAATTTCTCTGGGCAGGAGAGAGCGCATTTTAATTGTTTAACAGCTGGTCGCAACAGTCCTAAATCCCTGGCAATGGTTCTGCTCCACTAGAACCCTGTCGAACTGTCTTGAAACAACGATCACCATTGTTGCGTTGGAACTATGGCCATGGCAATGGTCGGTAGGCTCTACAGCCGGTGATCGCCGCTACAAAAATGCTACCAATCAAATGAGGGGCACTAACAGGGACCAAAGTGAGATTCTTAGGTATGACTGGATCTCCAACTTAATGACAACAAGCCACTGACGCTGATTGCAGCCTCCACAAATGTCTGCCGCTGGCGGCACTCGCATGCATACTACGACCGACCAATATTCTCGTTTGGGCAACCCTGGCCAGCCTCGCTTGGCTTCGGACCTCTTGGCCCCAACGCAAGATTTTTATTTTGCAAGTCATAGTTTGCGGGTAAATACCCCGAACTCCTGATAAGGGACCAGCTGACCTTTCAATCTGGCAGATCGGCAATTCTTGCGGTGTCTTCGGTTGCGGACCGTCTCTTCTATGGAATTTGGACCTTCCCACCGCTCAGATTCCTATACTTCAACATTGCGCAGTCACTGGCTGTCTTCTATGGCAGCAATGACTGGCATTATTATATCTCCCAGGGTTATCCACTTCTACTTACCACTCTATTACCTTTTGCGGTCATTGGTTTATATACAACCTTGACAGCTCGGAATTCTACAGCGGGAGACAGCTTGCAGGCGGCGATCCAAGTACAATTGGCGATAGTCTGCCTTCTGATGCCATTTGTCCTCTCTTTGATCTCTCATAAGGAAGTGCGCTTCATCTACCCATTGCTGCCCTGTCTGCACATCCTGGCTGCGCCGCCTTTGGAGCAGTTTTTTTCCCCAGCCATCTACTCGCGGACAAACCCGCGTCACACTCCTCGCAGGTTAATTCTCATCTTTCTCGTGCTTGTAAACGTGGTCATTGCGCTATATACTACTCTCTATCACGCGTCAGGAACACTTGACGTCCTCTCCTATCTCCGTCAGCAGCACCAAGCACACTCGGTACCAACACCAAAAAGACGATCAAACTCAATTTCTGAAGTCGGAATATCTGCTGGCTTTTTGATGCCCTGCCACAGCACACCATGGCGCTCTCATCTTGTCTACCCAACAATAAGTGCTTGGGCCCTTTCCTGCGAGCCCCCGATCGATCTCAATGCAACCCAGAAAGCCGTTTACCGAGACGAAGCAGACCAATTTTACGACGACCCTGATCAATTCCTACGCCAGAACATGGCGGGTGGTCTCCGTCACCTCCCTCGACGACCCAGCTACATCGCTGCCACTCATCATTCTGCATCAGGAAAGACCTCCGACAAGACCCTTGTACATGAATGGCCCGATTATCTCATCTTTTTTGCCCAGCTCGAGCCAACCCTCCACACCCTGCTGCGCGGTTCACACTATGACGAGTGCTGGCGAACCTTCAACACAGCCTGGCACGACGACTGGCGTCGTCGCGGTGACATCGTAGTATGGTGCTTGGACAGGGTCGAGCAGGACGCCTGGCGCTCCAATACCCAACGCCACGCGCAGCAAAGCCGAGACAAGCAATTCGATCGTATCGTGGAAGCCTTCAAGCAAGAGGGGCGCAAGCAGAAAGAGAAGTCGTGGATGGGATTCCACGCGTCTTCGACGCCTTGGTCCGCATCGCCGCCTCCATTTTTAGCATCCTGGCGACGTTCAGTGAAGTCTTTTTTCTCGTCACCTCCAAAATCTTCGATTTCTTGGCCTTGGCGTCCCCCCACTCGTTGGGAGACCTTTGTGGCGAGGCTGTCATTCTCGAAGCAGAAGCCTAGTTGGCTTTCTTGGTTGCCCTCTTGGTTGGGCGGAGCTAAAAAGAGACCCACAGAAACGGAGTTGTGGTCTTGAGATCATCCTTGGCTCTTTGTCTGGCGTTTTTGGCCTCTTGTCTATTTTGTGTTGTTCCATATGTGGTGCTGTGAGGATTTCCTTCCCTTCTTCCTTCCCTTACTCTTTCCCTTTTGTGCCTTCGTTTCTCTTTGAACATATAGCATTAGATCTATAGTACTATAATCTCCCTTGAATAACCAGTGATATCTTAGTCGAATTTCAAATTACAAAACACAACAATTATGTACTATATTGACTCGCTAACAGGAAACAAAGGAACATTTTGATGAACTATAAATGAATGAATGACAGGAAACGAGATGAAAGGGGAAAAAAAATACAAATCTAATGAGTGGCAAGCAGACAGGGAAAATGCGCCAGATATGCACGACCATAAAACGTCTCGTCAAGGTTCTATATCCAGGATAGTGTATAAAGGTCAAAGTGAAAATGAAAATCAATGCCCATGGTCAATATCCATATTCCCATTGCTCGGTCAGCTGTCTATGTATGATCCAAGGCTGAATTCATAGAATTCAACCATAGCGAGCACTCAGATTAGCAAAGGCATCAGGGCTATGGCGACCATTCTGCAGGCCGCTCACATCGACGCTCGGCTGGCTCATGTGTGACCGTGGAAACGCCGACTTCGTGGGCGGCGGGCCTGAAAAAGGGGACTGGCCTCCAGCAAATGGGGAGCTATTGGCTCCTGCAAATTGGGGACTACTCATTCCCGAAAATGGGGAGTTGTTCGTTCCCAGGGCCTGAGTAGTTCTGGGGCTGGTTACGGCCCCGGTTTGGCCGTCGATGCCGCCAATTCCTAACCCGGATGATTGCGGTTGGTATGGATTGATGCCTGCTTGTGCGGCAAGGCCGGATCCGCTGCCTGTGGGGGCGGTGCCAAAGAATGGATTGTTAGATGTGGTAGACTGAGAGTTGGCGGCAGGTAGCTGGGGTTGGAAGTTTGTGACTTGCTGAGGCTGAGACATGGATGTGTATGGGTTTGATGATTGAGAATAGGGATTCATCGTGGAGGCTTGGGCCTGGGGCTGCGTAGATTGCTGGTGTTGCTCGGGAATAGGGGTCATACTGGACTGCGTAGGGCCCATATTGTACAATGAAAGAATACTGTTCTTGTCCATTCCAGTGGGTTGAGGCATGAGTTGCTGTGTCTGCTGTGGTTGCGGGTGGGACTGGAATTGGCTGGGATAGCCGCTTGTGTTCGACGCTGTGTTCGGCGCCGGCCCTTGCTGGAACGGGTTGTAAGCTCCCAACCCATTTGATGGCTGCTGCTGTGCTTGGAAAGGGGTAGATGTTCCAAACGGCGAGGCGGAAGACACGAAGGGCATGGTATTTGCATGGCGAGGGGGTGCAAAGCCCCCTGGTTGCGCTGCGAACGGGGTCATTTGCTGCTGTTGCGGCTGCATGGGTTGGTTTTGCGGCGCAGTGTTGAAGAAAGGGTTCGTTTGCGGCATATTGGGGTTTGAATATGCCTGACTGGCCAAGCCACCCTGCGGCTGCAGCGGTGCCTGGTCGAATGGATTGTAGCTGTTCACTAGCTGAGGCGAATTAACATAAGAAGATGGCGAGAATGTCGATGTGACCGGAGGCGTATAGGGCTGTTGATATACAGAGTGCTGCATGGAGCTTTTCTGGTTCGGATATCCACCGGTAGAGTGGGGGAACAAGGGTTGGGAGACTTGCAGGCCCTGGAAGGATGATTCTAAAGAAAATGTAGATGCCGGATTCGAGCTTAGCTGATCGAATGGGTTGTACGCCGCGGTCTGTGATTGCTGAGTTTGCGACTGGGCGACAGGATTTGAAAACACCCGGTCAAATGGGTTGTTAGAAACCTCGGGGAATGTGTTGTCGGTTGTGACCGGGAATGGGTTTTTGGACGTCTCAGGCTTCGAGATTGTTATATGTGCAGAGGCACCACTGCTTGTCCCGGCCGGGGTCCTGGATCTTGATGCAGGATTGCCTCCTTCGCCCAACCTAACCAGTGTTTCGATCGCTCGATCCAGATCCTCATGTAGTCCCTTCAGAACCATCTCGTTTCGTCCGTCATCGGTGAAACCCATCTGCTGCAATGCCGCCATTTTAGATTCGAAAGATGCTGTGGTCACATCGGCGACAGGCGCACCAAGCCCAGTCATCCTCCTGGATGGCAATGGTGGTGACCAGGCTCCATTTTCCGAGGTAGGCGAAGACACCCTGGGCTTGCCGCTAAACCGGCGGAGGTTCGAGGTAGAGGATGACGACCGTAGACCGAACTTGAAATGCTTTCCAGTCTTGGGCGGAGGGGGAGGGGGAGAACCCCCGGGAGATGTGTAGCCATTTTTTCTTGTTTCCACAGGGGACAGAGGCCTATAGTTGGAGTAACTCGAATCCTCCCTGCTCGGGGGCTTTGGCTTCCCATTTTCCAACGAGCGGTGTTGATATTTCTGCCGGATAAACCGTTCCATGCACGCATCGGCCTCGTCAATATCGGTGGGAACTGGCGGCTTAATCCCCCGCGGGTTATTTAATTGGTTCATAATAGTGTTACCGTGCGATTTCATACTCTAGTAAAGTTCACTTGGTCAGCTCGTGACCTTTGCTGTTGCGGAGTGCCGGAGCATGCTTACATCGACTTGCTCTGATGTCCATGTATCCATGGTTAAGGATTTGATCTTGGAAATATGTGTGCCCAGCTTTCGGTGCAGTGCGGCGCACCGCATGCAAAGGAAAATGCCCATCTGTCGGGGATAAAACGGTCAGTTTTTAGATTCGTTTTGAAGGTAAAAAGAAGACGCAACACACATTCCAGCTTGCCCATCCTATTCAAATAAGAATTAGTGAGAACAACGACAAGGGTCTGGGGTTCTGTAGGGACATACCTGGGGATAGGGCATCGCAATCGGCACATCGATCATTGCCAGGAATGGTGCGGATCAGCTCCGCCAGGGTCTTTTCATTCCGCGCCTGCTCGCGCTTGCTGATGCCGGGAGCCATGATGCAAAAAAAAATAATAATTACAAGAATAAATCAACAGACAGAAGAAGTGGCAGTAATACAAAGTGGAATAGGGGAAGAATTCTGGTTCCCAGGGCGGAGAAGGGTTCAATTGTCGTCCGAGGGGCAAATCATTCCAAATGAGACATGTGAACTACGAACTGGAGGGACTCCAGAAAGTACAGATGCATATCGAAGAAAGTATAACTATCCCAGGATTTAAAGGGTTTAGCTCAATTGTTGAAAGGTTTAGTGGAATTAAGTTAAATTGAAATGGTATTCTCATTCTCAAAGTCCTTTTTTTTTTCTCGGCATTGCTCTCACTCCGTAGGCCCGATCTTCTAGAACACTTTAGAAGTCTTGGGTATTTATAGACTCGTGCCTAGGCTCAATTGCACGAAGTTCCACAAGTCACCAATTATGTGTATTGATAGTAACAAATTTCAGGGAAAAAAAATTTAAAACGGCATGTCCGGACAGCAATGACTCGCATCTACCAATGCGCCTAGAGGCCGAAGCCTTTTCGGAGCCGTCGAGAAGTCATAATACCCAGGAATATCTTCTAGTACGCCAATATGACCTACCATCCTATGATAGAGGAATTGGCGGTTGATTATGCGTTCGGAAAAGTGTAAAGAAGAAAAGTCGGCCATTGGCGAGGAAATTTTCGGTTCAAAAGGACATGATCAGGTGACTGCACTAGTCTAGTCACGTGCCGCTCTGATAAAGATAAAACCTTTTCCACTGTGCGAGTCTTCTTCTTTCCTAACCACCGTTCGTGTGTTGGAGACCTCACGATTCCAATCCTTTAACGCTGGGCATTGTTGAAGACTTGGATCCAACATTCAGATAGTTAAACTGCAAACCACATAACCCGCGTGGTGCCTACTTGTGGCACTGGACGTCTCTTGGGTGATTTTTTAATCGTTCGTTCGTGGAATATCAAAACCAAACAGTTTTTAGCAGAGCTGCGTCTACTCCACCCTGGTATTCAAATCTATTGAACTGCAGGACTTTTTTACGACGGACATCCTAAATTAATGATTGAAATCTATCTTCCACATTTACTCTGGTCTCTCTTTACTACTATCCTTCTCTTGGACTTTCAATCATCGTATCTCTTTCCCTCTTCCCGGATCTCAGCACCACGTAAGCTCCTTGAAAATTCTCGCCTTTGCTTTCAAGTCACATGACCGTGGCCTCCATGAGGGGTTAAACCTGCAACCCCAAAGTGGCCGGGTTTACTCTGCCCGTAGGTTAGTTACTCTTTTACACACCCTTCTCCAAGCGCATGCGAGATGGACTTCGAAAATCTTGTGGTACAACAGTCAGATTAACCTTACTTGGAGCGGTACAAAAAAGACGCCGTCGTGGAGAAAAAAACGCAAGAGGCAAGTAAGGGTAATATGGTGTCTCATTACATCATCGAACAAGCTGAGCTATAAACATGTGACACTGATGCGTTTGGAGGATTCATCGAGAGCAGGGGTTTAAGGAAGAAATAGTATAACCTTTGGGTAGTTCGTTCCAGTTTAGGCCGTATTGGTTCATACGACATTTCTCGGCACTTCTAACGTGACAAGTCCTGTTCCGATGAGAGCAGGCATTGAATTGGCAGTTTCTTGAGATCACTATCATCACGACGGACCATCCATGGACATGGTAAATCATATGGCTAGAACCATGGGTAATAAGTTTGAGACCACTAAAAACGTTGCCAAGGGAACTGGCACCCAAAAGATTAATGAAAAGATATTTGACATATCAATCTAGATTGTACGGAGCGTACTATCTAGACCTTAATTATTACCGAGCAACCCAGGCCCTGGCATTCTGTTCGATCAGGTAAGCAGGAAGCAACCGAGTGGGTCTGAGTTGACCAAACAGCGCTCGGCTGTTACTAATACCATTTCGCGACGCCTTTTTTTTACTCACGCCTCTGGTGTCAGTTTGTCTTGTCAACTCGATACGGACAAACTCCTAACATCATGGAGCCGATGAAGAAGACAACAGTTGACAGAAGCAAAAGTTGTGAAAATCTGAGGATATTGTCTTTGGGACGGTGATCGACTGGAATGCGGAGATGAGACGAAACGCCAAGGCAATAACATATGTGGCCCCTTTGATTGGCTACGATTCTATCAGCTTCTGTACGTTGTACCAAAGTATTGGCTCAGGGTTGTGACTGACACTGGAAAAAGGGACAGGAGAAGTACAAATGCCCCGGTCCTTCCCTTTTTCACTTCATCTATAGTTGTACCTTCACCTTCATTTTCCTTTTCCTGAGTGAATACCCTGTAGACTTTTTATCTCGCACCCTTTCTGTCTTCTCACAATGGCATCGGCTGCCAGAACTGTTTCTCGGGCTTTCCTGCGCTCAACCCCAGCGACCTCCTCTTTCCGTCCTGCTGCGCGCAGCGCCCATTTTGCCGTCCCAGCCAATGGTCTCCGCGCCTCTGCTCGTCGCGGATATTCTTCAGAAGCTGGCTCTGAAAAATCGGGCTCACCCTTTGGCCTCTGGGCTCTTGGTCTCGGTGCCCTGGGTGCTGCAGGTGGAGCATACCTCTACTTGAACGGCGACTCCTCCCCCAAAGGGCCCTTCATCCCTACCCAGGCCGATTACCAGAAGGTGTACGATGCCATCGCTTCACGTCTGGCTGACGAGAGCGACTATGATGACGGCAGCTATGGTCCCGTAAGCGCAGTCACTTTGGTTCAATGTTGTAACCTAGGATAAAAGAGCTAATCTAGACGTTTTTGATGCTCTCAATAGGTCCTGGTTCGCCTTGCATGGCACGCAAGTGGTACCTATGACAAGGAGACTGGCACTGGAGGCAGCAACGGCGCCACTATGAGATTCGCTCCGGAGTCTGATCACGGCGCCAACGCCGGTCTTAAGACTGCTCGTGACTTCCTCGAGCCCATCAAGGCTCAGTTCCCCTGGATCACTTACTCTGATTTGTGGACTCTCGGTGGTGCCTGTGCCATCCAGGAGGCGAGTGGCCCTTCGATCCCCTGGAGACCCGGCCGTGAGGACAGAGATGTCGCCGCCTGCACTCCCGACGGCCGTCTTCCTGACGCCGCCAAAGACCAACGTCACGTCCGCGATATCTTCACCCGCATGGGCTTTGATGATCGCGAGATGGTTGCATTGATCGGTGCCCATGCCTTGGGTCGCTGCCACACCGATCGTTCTGGCTTCGATGGTCCCTGGAACTTTAGCCCTACTCTTTTCACCAATGAGTTTTTCCGCCTCCTTGTTGAAGAGAAGTGGATCCAGAAGAAGTGGAACGGTCCGATTCAGTTCACTGACAAGACCACTGGCACTCTCATGATGTTGCCCACTGACATGGCTCTTGTCAAAGACAAGGCCTTCAAGAAGCACGTCGAACGATATGCCAAGGACAGCGATGCCTTCTTCAAGGAGTTTTCTGATGTCTTTGTCAAGCTCCTTGAGCTCGGTGTGCCCTTTAAGACTGAGGACCGCTTTGTCTTCAAGACTTCTGAGTAGTGGGATTGCTCCAAAAAATTGTCTCGTGTTCCCGTCTCCTTTCATATACCTGTCTTGATATCCGAGTCATCACTCACTATGATTTTAATTTTTTTTTCTCTTTGCCAATGGAACTTTAGGTTTCCCATCATGTTTGTATTCGCCAGCAGTCCCGGCTGTATTCACAGCATAGGTTTTGCCTTGGGTAGGATGCGATGTTGGCACAGTTCACACAGTGTCATCGAGCGAATCTTGGTAGAACTACATCGTATAGCTTGAAAGAATACCACACCCCCCGAGGTCATGAAAATTGTAAGAAAATTTTCACATTCGTGACTAGGATGTTAGTCACGAATGTTGAGAAACTGAATAGAGAAAAGGAGTAACCAGTGCTTAACATCAACAGGTATGGGCCCGGAATGCCATTCTCCCAAAGTAGCGTGCAAGGGCGGCCCGCCATTTTTAAATCCTCATGGAAACTTCTCAGTAACAAAGCTCACCAACCCCGCTTTGCAGCGCCCCTGCTACCCCGAATTATTACAACCATTCCTTGGATTGCACACGATTGGACCTCTCCGTTAGACTCCGAGGTGTCACTACTATAACCTGGGGCGCACCTCTGACCGGTCGCTCGAGAACTCGGCATGGGACACGATAAGAGCGCAACCAGCTAAATACGACAAGCAAACCTTGAACAGAGAGAGGAATCTATTTGGTGACATGAAGAGGATGACACACGCCGTGGATCTCTATGAGATCCTGTCTCTGCCGTTTGCAGGGTCTTCGTCGACAGTCCTCTCCAAGCAGCAGATCAAGATCGCATACCACAAAGCATTGCTGAAACACCACCCTGACAAGGCGGGTGCTGTCGCAAGAGATACTGGGCTAGGCGGCTCGACTAACTCTACATCCATATCTACTCCGAACTCTCTCTTTGCCAAATCTAATGGCAACTTGTCGCGACAATTTTATTCCATCGATCAGATCACCACCGCCTACAAGACCCTATCGGACCCCGCCCTCCGCGCCGAATACGACCGCTCTATGCGTTTGGACAGACTGAGGATTGCAGAACGGGAGAAGACCGGCGATGTGTTCCATACCGGCTTGGAGATTGTGGATTTGGAGGATCTTGCCTGTGAGGAGGTTGAAGGCGGCGACGGCGACTGCTGGTACCGCGGATGTCGTTGCGGTGATGAGCGCGGGTTTTTGGTCAACGAAGAGGATTTAGAGAGGGAAGCTGAGCATGGCGAGATCATTATCGGTTGTCGCGGGTGCAGTCTCTGGTTGAAGATTCTGTTCGCCGTTGAGGCAGATGAGGGATGAACAGATGACTTGTCAGATGATCTTTTTCTTTCTTCTCCTCTCTGGTCTATCATACCATTGAAATTCGTGTCCCACTGTACAGCTCATGTCTTGTCACTGTGTGCTGGATGGCAACCCAGGCGCCCGTGGTCCCATGTCTGTCTGTCTTGGTCTATGTCTCATCTGGGGGCTAACCTCATGGTTCGGACAGGATATGGGCTTGAACTTTCATTCTTCTTCTGTCATGAGCTTTCGTTTTCCCGGGCTCGGTTTTTCTTTTGCGCCTGGGTCTCCTCCATTCTCTTCTGATTTGTCCACACTAACCTCATCGGCCTTGTGTAAACCAAGAGCCCATGCCAAGTGGCATCCTCGCTTTTGGACTCGCTCATATTTATTGAGACAAAGCTAAGCACCCTTACCGAGGTCCAACCCCAACTTGTTGCCTTCCGGCGGGACCTGGCTCAAACTCATTCATCCAACGGTGAAAATAAATGCTGTACCATGGAGCTACTCATCAAAAAATTATTTCCATGTTTAGATGGAGATTCGCGTCTATACTCATTTTGGACTCCTCTCTACAATAGTCAAGAACATAGATTGAAAAAGATTGTCAATCTTAAATGGCATGGTGAGCGTGATGATAGTGACTTATATATATGTTTCAACCGTCTGAAATTACGACACGTGAAATGTTGGCCTCTGAGTTGAATTCAATGCAATGCTACATTTCTAACAAGGTTCCGATAGTTGACATGAAAAAGAATTTAATACGCATTCTCTGGCATGGTTGACATGAGGTTGTTGATTGTGTAGAGGGGCTGATGACATATGCGGAGGCAGCAAAACACAACCTCACATCTTTCCGTCCTCTTCCACCCTCCATTCCACACTCCTTTCCCTCCCAACTTCACCATGCCTGTCATTGAGATATCATCGAAGGAGCAATTCTCATCGCTACTCACCTCTTCCCGTCTTGTCGTCGCCGACTGTAAGTATTTGCTGCAGCGCGATCCTGCCCCGCCGAGACCCTTTCTTCCCTTTCGAACGACCAGAGCTATCACTAACCTTGACATGATACTTGAATAGTCCACGCGGATTGGTGTGCACCGTGTAAAGCTATTGCACCTGCGTATAAAGCGCTGGCGACCCAGCTCTCCCGCCCGAATCACATCACATTCACCAAGATCAATGTCGATCACCAACAAGAGCTTGCCCAGGCCTACGGCGTCACAGCGTACGTGCAATTTACCTCAACATCTTGAAATTAGCCCAACCTGCGCTTTTCATTCTATAACCTTGTTTACTGACAAACGCACGATACCTAGAATGCCGACCTTCATCGTCTTCAAGAACGGCCGCGTCAATCAAACAGTCAAGGGCGCCAACCCCGCACAGCTGAACCAGGTTGTCCAGAAGCTTGCATCCGAGGCAAGCCAGTCGGACGACGCAACGGGAGCCGGTGAAGGAAGCGGCTCTGGTGAGCTCTGGCTTGGCGGTACAGTGGCCAAGGGCTACAGCGATGTCACAGACCAGGTTGATGTGAAGGGATTGGAGCTTTTGAACCGGGACACAAATACAGCAGAGCCACGCGCTCTGTTCAACACCTCGAGTCCTTCTGGACTAGCAGGAAAGGGCAAGGGCAAGGCTGCTGGCCAGGCGGACTGGACTGAGAGCGACACCGACGAGCAGCTGATGCTGTACATTCCATTCAACTCGACATTGAAGGTCCACTCGCTTCAAATTACTTCCCTCCCTCCTGCGGACGCGGACGCGGACGCCGATGATGACGAGACACCTATGCGGCCCAGAAACTTGCACATCTACAAGAATACTTCCCATGTGCTTGGATTCGATGAGGCAGATGGGATCCCCCCTGTGCAGAAGGTGGAAATCCAGGCTGGTGACTGGAATTCCAAGACTGGGACAGCGACAATCCCTCTGCGGTTTGTTAATTTCCAGAATGTGACATCGCTGGTTATGTTTTTCGTTGATGGGGATGGGGATAGCGAGAAGCTGCGCGTTGACCGCATTCGAATTATTGGCGAGGCGGGTGCAAACCGATCTATGGGCATGCTGGAGAAGATTGGCGACGAACCTGGCGAGTAAACAACATAGACTCTGGAGAAAACGGTCATATGATATGGAGACAAGAACTGTGTGCCGTCTTTGTTCGATTTTTGTTTTCCGAAGACAGCGAGAGCTTGGACCGATCAACACTTATTGAAATTTGTGCCAGTAGAAGATACAGCCCAAATGTCTAGTGATTGCGAGCAAGCTGTTTAGAAGAAAAAAAAACATTGATAATTGGTAAAAACGGTTCCATTGGGTATTTTTTTTAAGCTATAGAGGTATCCAAGGTGGCTTGTAAAAAAAGTATGTTTGACTCCCACCAGAAGGTCCTATCCTTATGAAATCAGAAAGACCGAAAAAGGCAAGAATCAATGTGCAATTCCCTTCGTCTGTGGCGCAACTGACACCTGGGTTACATCACTGAAAGCCAGACTAATGACCGTAGATGTCCAGGCAACACGGGTTATCGAGTTGCGCCGCCGCACGAAGAAGAAAAGAAAAGAAGAGGAAAGGATCTGATTGAGATTTCGTTTTATGTTGAGTCCCGGAGCTTTGGTTTTTCCGGTAGCCCTTAAACGGAAGGTTCCAAGGATTTCGGCGCACACAGAAATTGGCATTATGTAAGCCGTATGCGAGGAGCCGGGTTTTTCATGTGGTACCTTTCTCCTTCTTTCTCTTTCTCTTTCTTCCATAAACATGGTCGATGATGAGAAATATGGATTCTATGATAGGAAGAGACTGACTCCTTCTGGGAGCGTGATCTCAATTTTACCATTCCTGAGGCCCTTCGCTGTTTATTTCTGCCGTTGTTGATGAGCTTGACCTGCACCCAGGACGAGCTTCAAGAACAACACGCTATGGTTGCCTTCCAACCTTCAGATTGGGGTAGTGAATTTTAGTTTCCTACATCTTGGAGTAATAAGACTTAGTAACGCAATCACGAGCACTTTCATCCCAAACTCAAAATGCGAAACAATGATTCCCGTTCCTCGGTTCGTTTCAGATAAACGGAATATCCGAAAGGAGCCTCGGAACAAGATGTTGGCTGAAGTCCGCTGACAATATAAAAACCAACATCCACATGAGAAGAACTCAGCCAATGTGATGCAAACTTCAAGCCCCGAAGCCCCGCTTAATGACCGAGCACTGCTCACTGTTGGTATATGTGGTTCGCGGAGCCGAGACAATATCAACTTCGGCCCGATGCACCGGCCGGCGACCGGATGCTTGCGGCCTCCTTGTCCTCTCACAAGGTAAATAACGTACCTAACCAGGTAATGATGAGGATATCCAACATGGCGAGCAGCCGTACGGAGTTCTCTGTATGGACACGGTGATTTCCATGGATCGAGTAGGAGCTCTTGGCAGTCTGTTTACGCGATGAGATCCGCTTGGTCCCATTGGCTATTGCGAGACAACTCTAGCTCTTGTTTTTGATTCTCTCTCTTCGTATCCATCTCCACTGTAGGTTTGGCGGAGAGTGGCTGGTTCGACCATGGACTGGCCGACCTTGCGACGTGATGTGGATGCAGTTAAACTGGGTTGTTTCTTGTGTGTTGAATTAATATCCGATGTGGTGCTTGGAAGGATTGTACGATGTACGGAGTATACACTATACTGTATTGCCTGATCGCCATCCACGATTCGGGATTATCGGACTCCGTGGTGATATTTCCTCGACCCAAGGTTGATTGCGGGTTCTCTTGTCTTGGGTGGATAGAGGATGGGTACCGCATGGTGGCACGTGTGTGGACCTGACATGAAGAGGTTTGTTCAATCTGAAATGTGGATGAGGGTAGGAATTAGTTCTGCTCTGTGTTGCGCAAGGTACCTAGCTATCGCTGACGGTACCACGTTTGGAATCAAAGTTTTGCACAAGGGATTGAGACCCGCTCTAGCCCGCCTCGATATGCACACCGTTCAGTGTTTTGCTGCTAGTAACGCACGCCATTCAGACCATGTCCCCACTGCCGGTGGCGTGTCTTCAGCTGCGATTGAGACTGGGCCCTATTCGCGCTGGCCAGACGCTGGACAGCAGAGACAAGATAGAGCAAGACATCGGCTTGTCGGTGGATTGCCCTCTCACGGAAAGAGAGGTCTCACCTCGAACGGTCTCGCTAAACATGCCCGCCGCGGGAGGGTTGCTGCGTCAAGTTTCATCTTAGCTTCGGCTGTGGTTTCAGCCCGTAGATCCAGAACCAGCTCTAAAGCCATCGATGGCGCTGCGTTGAACTCTCTACACTCTCACTGGACCGCAAAGAGAGTCAGCGTGTGCGGAGAACAGTGGACTTGTCTCTCAGCGCCGAGTCATGGCTATCAGCTAGACCGAAGAAAATCCGTGAAATCAGTTACGTACAAGATACTGCGCGGGAAGATGATCTGCTCGTGTTGGCACGGGCTGGGTTGAACGATGGAAAGAACCACTTTTTTGGTTTTGAGCCTCGCGCTAAATAGGATGGGAAATGAAGCCAGTTGTTGATCATGAGAATGATAGCCTAGGGACGAAAATCGTTGCCGAACCGCACCTCCCCGAGCTAGATACGGTTCCCCATAGAAAAGCCGTGGAGTGCATTCTGCATAATCCGCATGATTTACTCCGTACACGCTAGATTGATCTTGTTCGTCGATGATTTCTGGTGATTTGGGTGGGGACAGATGTTTGGGGATAGCGCGATGTTGGAGAAGGTTTGCGCGACATACGAACTAGCTACATGATCATCTTCGGGAAATGTGGAATGGTTTTCTACAACCATGAAGCCACATACGACATCCTGCTAGGCCTCATTGGGAATTCTCCGCCGGATGAACACACATTGACCTCAGTACCAGGGAAACCGTGCAAGATAAGATCAGATAGGGCTCGGGACATCGCATCCTTTCACCATTTTGGACCTCGGGAGCCTTTGCACGCCCCCATTCGTACCAGAGATCCCAGGGCCAAAAAGATGGTC